CCCTCGCCCCGCGAACTGCGGACCCAGCCCTTGGGCGGCCGGAGCTCCCCCGCTGCCCCCCCTCCGGGCCGGGGCTTTGGGGTCTGGAGTCGTGGGGAAAAGCTGGAAGCGATCGTTCGTGTTCCTCGGGGACCACGGGGTGGATTTGCATGGACGCGATTTTCTTGTTAGTGGTGAGCGCTACCAGGATGTCGGGCTAGAGCATGACCGTGCTGTTTCTGAACACGTTTGTGACCCTCCTACATGAACATGGAAGGAAAGGGCTCCATCTGGACCTCCAGAGCCATCCGAGGGTGGGGAGGTGTGGGCACGAGCAGGTTACTTGCTCTTGGTGCTGGGTTTGTGGCCCGTGAGCCTGTGGTTCCTGTGTTTCTAGAAACACGGGGGACAGAGGGGTTGGCTTGGTGTGTCCTAGACCCCTGGGTCTAAGGGCTGTTGCAATTACTGTGCTTTAAGATGATTATTGGGTGCACAACTGGCAAAACAAAGAGTCTCCAGGAAAAACATCGGTTTACTCAAGTGTAAATGCCAAACCCATACACCGAGGAGCCTTTCTGCTCACTGCCTTGGCTCTGCCTCTTCTCTGCTTGCTGATGTGACTGCTTGGTGTTTTGCTGCCTCCTTCGCAGCAAGCAGATGTTTCTTACCAGTGGGATAAGAGCAGATTTTGGGGGATGCCTCAGACTTCAGGCCTGAGGCTTAGACCTGGGAGGTTTTCCTAAGGTTGAACACACTTTCTCCAGGGCTGATCCTGTTAAGCGTTGCTCCAAACCTCCTGCCTGTTGGCAGAAGTAATATTTCACAGTGTTCTGACTCCTGCTCCCAGCTTGGGCAGGGAGGGCAGGACATGGCCCCCATCCCTCTTATGTGCTGGGGGTCTGTTGGCTTGGGCAGCCGGCGGCCAGGCAGCGGACTGGGTGCAAGCCAGGGCCTGGAACACCTGCGGTCCCTCTGAGGCTCCTGGCGTGTGCCCAGCTCTGTGGTGGGAGGTGCTGGGCTGTGGTGCTGTTTGCCCGACGCGTGGAGCCCAGGGATGCTGCAGTCCCTGCAGACCTCTGCCCAGAGAACAGCGCACGTGTGCCTGGCTCTGGCATACAGAGGGTAAGGGTGTGATGACTTCTGCTAGCCTGGGGCTCATTTCAGACTGCCTTGTCCTCTGATTTTAGGTTGGCGATAAGGTAATGGTTCTGGCTAGGTCAGGGCTCTGGCAAGAAGTGGTGAACGTGCCAGCCAGTCAGACTTTCCTCATGCCTGAGGGGATGAGCTTCGAGGAAGCAGCTGCTCTTCTTGTCAACTACATCACTGCCTACATGATCCTCTTTGACTTTGGAAACCTGAGGCCCAACCAGAGTGTCCTCATCCACATGGCTGCAGGTAAATAGTTCTTGCCACCCCGTGCTGAGTCTCTTGGCCTCAACATGCAGCTTCTGAATGGGTGGCATGGGGGAGGACGCGGTCAGAACGTCAGACGCTGGACTGACAAAACATCGCCTGCCAGAGGTGCAGGCTTCATGCTGACCCAGGCGCTGGAAAATGCTGAACCCATTTCCCAGGAGCCAGGGTCGGTCTCCGGCAGTGTGTCACAGGCGTCAGCCTGCCCCAGGCAAAGCTTTTATTCCAGACGCTCCCGGCACTGTGCGGTCGGTACAAGCAAGGATCATTTACCTATCCAGAGGCTTTTCTGACTCCTGGGACTGTTTGCTTATAAGTCTTTCTCACTGCTGGTTTTCAGGTGGTGTGGGAACTGCTGCCATCCAGCTGTGCAAGACTGTAGAAAATGTCACAATTTTTGGCACAGCATCTGCCTCCAAGCATGAATCACTCAAGGAGAGTGGAGTAGCTCACCCCATTGACTACAGAACGATGGATTACGTAGAGGAGGTCCGGAAAATCTCTCCCAAAGGTACCATGTGGTGGAGGGCTTCTACAACTGTCCTGCATTTCTTTCAAGTGCAAAGAAACTCCTGGTTACTGTCAATTCCCTCTAGGTGTTGACATTGTCCTGGACCCCCTGGGAGGATCCGATACGTCCAAAGGATTTAACCTGCTGAAGCCGATGGGCAAACTCATCACTTACGGTGAGTGTGAGCGGCGTGCCCAAACCCCAGCTCCTGCGTAGGAGGGACTGTGTGACGGGAGGGTGGGTGTGGACCCGCTTGGAACACTCCATGCTGCTCCGTGCCCAGACGCGCAGCTGTGAAGGAGCGTCGCTACTGGCTGCTGTGCGTGTTGTAGTTCTGTGATTTCACGAAGGCCTTTAGGATGCTTTGCCTGGGTGAGGCACTGAAGGGAGTGGGATTTGCCCTGTCCTGAGATCTCTGGCCACAGGCTCCAAGGCACTTCTCTCCCATGGCATCATCTATCCTCGAGTACGACGAGTGCCTGCAGGGGAAGCTGGAATGTCCTCATGGAGGAACGCTGGCACAGCTGCTTTGTCCAGGCTGACTTAATGCACAGCACTAATAGAGCCTTGCTTTTCTTCTAGAGGATGTGTGGGTGATGAGGTTTGCAGCTACTGAATACTTATCTCTCCATTCTCCAGCCCTGAAACACTGTGATTTTGTGCCGCAGACAAAGCCCTCACACAACCCTCAGTGGGATTCCAGACACTTGCACCAGTGTGCTGCTGCTGCTGCTGTCCTGGCTGCGGCAGCGTGTGGCTCCCCTGAGAAGCCTGGCTGCAGGAGAAGGGCTGTGCCGTCCCGCCAGCCCAGCTGGATGTGACTCGTAACCCTCCCTTGCCTCCTCCAGTCCCGCTGCACTGCTGCTGCCCTCCTAAGAGAGGAGTTGTTCTATATTTTTGCAAAATCCGGGTGCCAATAATCCACATTCTGCGTACCTTGAGGCGGAGGCAGGTGCCTGTTTCCACTGAAGGTGGACTGGGCAGATCCTGATGTGATCCCGTTCTCGCCGCTGTCCTCCATCCCTGCATGGGGCCGTTACTCCGCGTGTTGTCTGAGCTGTCACGCAGGCTGCCCACTGCCCCTTGTGTTGTGCTGATTCCAGCTCATCTGTGGCTTGCCTTCTTTCCAGGGATAGCAAACCTGCTCACTGGGCAGAAGAAGAACCTCATGGCTATGGCTAAAACCTGGTGGAACCAGTTCAGCATCAATGCCTTGCAGCTCCTACACCACAACAAGGCTGTGTGTGGCTACCACTTGGGATATATGGATGAAGAAGTTGAGCTTATCGGAGGTGTTGTAGCCAAGCTGGTTAGCCTGTACAGTCTAGGCAAAATCAAGCCCAAGATAGACTCGGTCTGGCCCTTTGATCAGGTGAGTCTGAGCTAACACACAGGCTGGTAGCACCCAGAAAGTACTGGGCAATTGTTTTTTGCACAGTGAGCTCTGGACCAGTGTGAGCACCTTGCTGCTGGGGGCTGAACTGTTACAAATGTTTAATAACCATCTGTTCTCAGACATTCAGTGCCTTTTCCTTTCAAGATATTAAGGGGGAGTAAAGTGGCTGGGCTCTTCTGCTCCAGAGCACAGAGCTGGGCAATGCCAGACAGCGTCCCTGTGGAACAGGGCAGATGGTCAGCTGCGCTCGTGGCAGCAGCAGCGCACGGAGGGGCTGCGTTGTGCATCACACTGGAGACTGCCTGTGTCTGCACCCGGTAATTAAGCAGACAGCTGGGAAGGTTGCTGCTGCCCTTCCAGGAGTGAAAAAGAGCCCAGGCAGTGAAGCAGAAGGAGGATGTTGGAAGGGAGCGGCAGGTTTTCCAGCAGCTCTGCTATGCCTGGTGCTGTTGAATCAAAGTGTCCAGGCAGAGTCGGGTTCTTCCCTTGGAAATCCTTTGCTGGGGTAGGACTTACTGCAGGGGAGCAGAGGACTTGGTAATGATCAGCTGGTGTCAGTACCTGAGAACTAGTCTGATGCAGATGCTTCAGGAAAACTCTGTTGATTCCAGGCCTGGCCCAGGGGCTGTTTTGCTTAAAAATAATAATAAAAATCTGTGCCTGTATTGTTCTGTGGTTGTGTAGATGGTAGAAGCATTTTCCTTCTGGCTGTTGGCTGGGTTTCTGCAGGGCTCCTCTCTGTTTGGAGGGGCAGCTGTGGTCACCCATGCTTCGCTCTTCCACGGTTTGCGTAGCACAGCATCCTTGTGTTGGTCTGTGTGAATTCTGGAGGACGGTTTCCTACGGGCAGGCGGGGGTAGCTGCCCAACTCTGTCCAAAATGCATCTGTGCAGAGGCACCTGGATGCTTGGTGCGTGCCTGGACTGGCAGGAAAGCTGCCTCCTGGATGCCCTCAGACTGGTCGGGGTGGACCAAGGGGCCGGGGACAGGCACGACTGCGCTGCACGGGGGGTGCAGGTCTCACGAGATTCCTGTTGCTTCCAGGTGGCAGATGCCATGAGGCAGATGCAAGAGAAGAAGAATGTTGGAAAGGTCATCCTGGTTCCTGAAGCAGCCAAGGAAGAATCCAAAAAAGAAGAGAACTAAGGAGAAGAGATGAGTGCAGATTGTGAAGTCATGGTTTAACTCCCTGATGTCTTTGGGACCTGGAAATGGACAGATCAGTAGCTCCCATCTTCACCAGTACGAGAACATCGTGGTTAAAGTTCAGATGAGGTTTGCATGCTCTCGTTGTGACTGACCCTTTGCCAGATACGCCTGCTGCCATAGCTCTCTGTCTTGAAGCCTGTTTATTTCATACGTTTTTCTAATCCTTTGTTTCGCTTCTGAATTTCCAAACTAACCTCACTTTCCTCTGGCAGTGCAGCTGAAGCGCCCAGGCAGTTGGTGATTAGCGACTGCACAGCCCGTCCCTGTAAGGTCAGGATGTGACATGCTGCACTACTGCCACGTGTCCCCGCAGGAACCGAGCCCTGCTGAAGCACTTGTGCTGTCACCTTTGAGAAGCTCGCTCAGCAGGAGAACGGTCCAGGCTTGGGACGTGTCCTCAGCAGCCAGAGGAAAGGCACGGCTCGCTAGGTTAGTCCTAGCACAGGCGACTATCCTCTTTAGT